AGTATTTGTTTATATTCTGTTCATGATCTTCAATAAACAGATGTTTACAGTAATCGATTGTTTGGTGTTGTGCTTCTGTTTTTAATCAAACTGCGGTTTCCACCAAGTGGATCTATTACCTATCTGTATTTTATTTTATTCTATTCTGCCCCATAGTGGCACAGCGGTAAGTCTGCGGACTTATAACGTTAGAAACCGGGTATCGATAGCCGTGGTGGGCAGAGCACAGATAGCCCATTGTGTAGCTTTGTGCTTAATTACAAACACACAATACTTATCGAATCCCCCCAGTGGCACAGCGGTAAGTCTGCGAACTTACAACGCTAGAAACCGGGTTTCGATACTAGTGGTGGGCAGAGCACGGATAGCCCATTGTGTAGCTTTGTGCTTAATTACAAACACACAATACTTATCGAATCCCCCCAGTGGCACAGCGGTAAGTCTGCGAACTTACAACACAAGAAACCGGGTTTCGATACCTGTGGTGGGCAGAACACAGACAGCCCTTGTGCTTAACTACAAACAAGATTGCTATTGTCACACTAAAGGATCTGTTGGTGGGTTTCTTTCATTTTGCGTGTGTCTGCTATGAGTTTCGTCGCGAAATGGGAGGATCGACAAGGTTATTGATAGGAATATATAATTAAGTTAACTAAAATAATCGTTGGAAAATATATATAAAGTGACTGTAGTCTTTAAATCGATAAAAAATATTTTACGTTAGTCTCCTATGAACCTATACACCTGAAATTTGCGAAGAAGCTTTCAGTCTAGATAGCTACTACGTGGTGTTTTCACGTAATTACCTTTACACGTACCTCGTAACAAAAAAATTAGTTTAAACCTTGAATTGTTTGTTTATTTGTTTAGGATATTTGTGAAAACTACACAATGACTATATCTAATTTTTGAAGTGATATTCGTGAGGGAGGACTATTAGTTAACAGCACCCACCGCCAACTCTTGGACTGCTCTAATAGAATAATGCATGAGATTTGACAATCACTCTTATAACGCATTCCCAGATTCAAAGTACGGAGTGCGATTTTGCGACGATGGGACGCGAACCGTGGACTTTCGACACTCTTGCCACTAATGATTGATATATTTTTACCACGTTATCTCTGTAGATTTTGCATGGATCGTTAACATTTTACAACCACGAATTACAACAGAGCGTCGGTTGATTATTCATCCCATTTTAAATCTATCCAAATCCCATGTAATAATTAGAAATATCCAAGGTTCGAGCCGCGATATGCCGCTGAACATATTACGCAGTTTCAACTGTGAAGGCGTTATAGTTGTGACAGTCAGCCCTTCTATAGCCGCGTATGCGGCTGGTACTCCTGACCGATCGCTATTACTCTGGTCAGAAACTCTAAATTAGAGACTTTGAGTTTCTGATTTAACCCATGTGTGTCACATAAGCTGCTATTTAGGCTTAAAATACTAAATAGGATTCATGAAACCAAATTTTACAATTTGCTTGATAGCTGGTAGATGTCACTACCCATTGTATGACTGGGTTGGAGGTTAATAGCTTCATCCAGGATGGCATTTTTAAAACTGATGTACATGTGATATGAGTTTTGACACGAAATATGAGAAGCAACAAAAAAAAACTTATTAAAATGAAATATACAATTAAATAAAAACAAATATGACAAATGTAGATTTTTTATTTATAAGAAGCTAGTCTATAGTTTCACTAGTTACTCTCCAACGCATATGACAGGGTCTTCCGTTCTTTACGGGTTCGATGGATGAGACAGGTAAATGAATATTAAATTAGAGTAATAATATTAATCTTCGAATTTCTCATAAATAAATCGCAAGTGCACAAAATAAAAACATACACACAAACGAAAACTGATTAGGCTTAGCTTGGGAAAACTACCAGCTTCGGTGCAAATGACGAACGTTGAAAGAAAAGAGTAGGGCAGGCAACATTTGTATACTTATACACATACAGCTATGATAGAAAACGGTTCCCCATATACTGAATGCGTGAGTTTTCTATCGGTTTAGAGATATTTTAACTTGGCAAAATGCCAAACTAAGGGCTTAAGGTATAACAAAATGTGGAAAAAGAATATATGTATGTATGTGTTTGTATGTATATATATATGTATGTATGTGTTTGTATGTATATATGTATGTATGTGTTTGTATGTATCTATGTATGTGTTTGTATGTATATATATGTATGTGTTTGTATGTATATATATATATGTATGTGTTTGTATGTATATATGTATGTATGTGTTTGTATGTATATATGTATGTATGTGTTTGTATGTATATATATGTATGTATGTGTTTGTATGTATATATATGTATGTATGTGTTTGTATGTATATATGTATGTATGTGTTTGTATGTATATATGAGACAGTCTAAATTCATGAGATTGAACCAACAATGCCAAGCCTTCGAAACCGTTGCTATTGTGATAACCTTATATGTTTTATGGACAGGTGACTGACCAATTATCTTCAACTGCCTTTCTTCCACCAACTAACCGGTCTTGGTTAGCACGTGCCTAATTATGTATGCATACTTCACTTGAAATCGGTCTGTTTGATACTGTGAGACTGCAGCAAGTTTACGGACTTTCATCGCTGAAATTTGGAGTTCGATTCTCCGCGGTAGAAACATTATGAAGTCCAATGTGGCTTTGCTCTAAAACAACTACATAAACTGTTTAACACTGTGTTTTGAAACACATCAAAGGGACAGTATATCCGGGAAGCTTTCCGTCATTTTCGGGAAGGGGGAAGGGTGTTATTACTGGTCAAGACGACTCCCAGAAGTTCCGGGATACTTAGGCTGCCTGATATATCCTAATAGGAATGGTATCTGTAGAAATAGAACACACAAAAGAATGGGGATGCAACAGCTGTTAGATATTCAACGTATAATAACTGTAATTGGGACTTTGCTTCTTCTGTTTTGTGTTCCTGGTCTGTTTGTTTGTTGAAGGTAAATAACGAAAGATATCGAAGGTTTGGAGGTTTTCCACTTAAAAGTTAAGGTCACGTAGCCTTTTATACATTCATTGCTACAGTTTGCTGCTAATCACAAAGCTACACAGTGAACTATCTGTACTCTGTCCATCACGGGTATCGAAATCCGGTTTTCAAAGTTATAAGTCTACAGACTTTCCTACGATTGCATTGTTTCATTCGTATGACCACCAAACTGCTTACTAAATGCACGTAGGAAAAATAATATGTCTGTGTTTCGTTTATTTCATTTCGTTCGTGATTTAATTTCAGTGGCTTTGACTCTAATTATTTGTTTGTTTGTTTGTTTTTAATTATGCACAAAGCTACACAAGGGCTATCTGTGCTCTGCCCACCACGGGTATCGAAACCCGGATTTTAGCGTTGTAAGTCCGCAGACATACCGCTGTACCACTGGGGGGCTTGACTCTAATATCTTCGTTACCGTTTCACAATAATGGGCAGAGGACACTAAAAGGACACTTTTCAAGTATGTTGTTTTGTTGTTGTTGTTTTTTTGGGGGGGAGGAATGGATCAGAGAAGGCTATGGGGACTGTGAGTGGCCTCTGGTAAACATAAAAGAACAAAGATTCTCTTGTATTCCTATTCATTAACATTTCCACAAGGTAAGACTAAACTGTGATTTATTGCGTATTAATACTTAATATAATATCAAAACTTGTTTGGAATATAAAGACCCACAATTCCCTGTCTGTCATTCATTTTAAAGCTGAAATCTCGCAGCAAGCAAAGTTTGGAACCAACTGTATCTTTTCGTAGTTGTTGACAATTTATGTGACAGAGAAAAAAGGGCACTTTGGGAGAATAAGGGGTTCACCCACCAACCTCCTGTACACGTCACTGCTGTTTCATTCCGTACGTACTTAACCAGATCCGTATACCATAAAATATTTGTAAACAAGTCGAGACAAATTCAAGTTTAGGTTCCTGAAAGAAACTGAGAGTCGCGGGTTCGAATCCCCGTCGTACCAAACATGCTCGCCCTTTCAGCCGTGGGGGCGTTATAATGTGACGGTCAATCCCACTATTCGTTGATTAAAAAAAATAGCCCAAGAGTTGGTGGTGGGTGGTGATGATTAACTGCTTTCCCTCTAGTCTTTCACTGCTAAATTAGGGACGGCTAGCGCAGATAGCCCTCGTGTAGCTTTGCCGCGAAATTCAAAAACAAAAACAAGAAACTGTAAGAGCAAATAACCTTTCCTGGTGTGTGTGTGTGTATCCGTATACTGCATTCGTAATGTGTTCATACACGCATGTTCCACATGTCGTCAAATATGACTTTTAATAAACAAGGATATCGTCCATTCTAGAGTTTTATGGGATACTGAACCAGGAGCCTCCTTGAAAGTTCAAATTAAGCCTTTATCATATAGATTTATACCCGTTTTCTGTAGTTAGTATAGTCGTAGAAAGGTAAACACTTCTACCATTAATGCGAAGCCAACAGAGTAAATATCAGAAACCCCTCACTCCAAGTTGTGTTCATGAATATTTGAATATTCTCTCTAATTACACTTGAGTTTATAATTATAGATTTTCACCTTGTGTAGCATTACGACTTTCTCTTACTAATTAAATATGTAGTACAGACTCAACTTATGTTACACAAATTAACCTTTTATGGTGTCTCAGTAGGTGCTGTATCTCACAAGTTCATCTGCACCGATTTCTTGTTTCTGGATGATGCTCATCAGAATCTGTAAACAATGTTTAGTTTCTTCTACGTTGCTTAGTGATGAAATACTTAATATTTGAACAACGACGTGCCATCATTTACCAATCAAATTGTCTCTTGGTGACATATTTCCATTACCTGTCCAATCACAGGGCTCGCAGGAACGGCGAATGCTTTTGACACACGAGTGATGAATCATTTAAATAGCAGCAGCTGCAATTAGAGGGCGCTTCAGAATTATTAAATCGCTATACCTTTCGTACAAACACCTATTTCCACAAAGCGTGGTAGCTGGAGAATGAAAGTAATACGTCTTTTAAAGGTTTTTCTTCTACTTCTTTGTGAATTGCCGTTAATCACATCACAGCATATACGTTATGAAATGTACAAGAAAATGTCGAATGCCTCGTGCGGGATCTCTTCTTCAGTAATAACTTCTGTAGCTGTATCTTCTAGCTTTGCCTGTTCTAGAGCATGTGTTAGAATTACAAATTGTGTCGGATTTGTATTACCTTCTCTAGAAGAGCCTATAGGCAAGAACTCTCTTGCTTTCAAGAAATTTCAGTGTCAGCTTCTTCACTCAAATATCTTTCAAAAGAGCTCCGAATGGGCGTTTTTTGGTGTTCATGGAAACTATGTAAGTTATCAAAAAAGTAAAACTAAGTTAAGCCTAATTCTGAATGTGTAATGACGTAAATAAACTGAAAATACATAAACAAATTATTCACCAACTTAATCTATATCAAATAACGAAACGGTAAAAAGTAAAACTAAGTTAAGACTAATTCTGAATGTGTAATGACGTAAATAAACTAAATATACACAAACAAACTATTCACCAACTTAATCTAAATCAAACAACGAAACGGTAAAAAGTAAAACTAAGTTAAGCCTAATTCTGAATGTGTAATGACGTAAATAAACTAAAAATACACAAACAAACTATTCACCAACTTAATTTCAATCAAACAACGAAACGGTCGTCCAAGCAACTGATATTATAAAAAAAAAGTCTCGACCTCTACTTTGTCTGCCGTATCTTAGCCAGCCTGCTATCAACGAAAGGCCTCGTCTTCATTAGGTATAGTGTGGTTGATTAATTGCATTCTGCTTTATTTTCACCCATAAGTTTTTATATTTAGATCTAGATCATGGCGTGGAACAGGTATGTGTGTTTCATACTGCTCGATAACACTAGCTCTCATTTCGTCAGAACACTTGCATTTAAGTGGGTCTCATGGGTCACACTATTATTTCGTACTTGGTTATAAATGTACCCCAGGAAAATAATTAGAAGATCTAGAATTTTCATCGTAATAAATGAAACTATGATAGTTTTGATGGTTAAAGTTTTGATTGTTAAAGTACTTGCTCATTAACGAAACTATGATAGTTTTGATGGTTAATGTACTTGCCCATTAGTAGTGTGGGTTTGAATCCATTCTGATCTCTGTGTTTCTATTTTAAAACTAGATGGAGCACCTGCCTCCTGGACGGAAGTTATGAAAATTCATGATCAATGAAAGGTTATCTTAGGACGTGAAAAGTTGCTTCCCTTATAAGTAATTAGTAAAAAAAAAAAAGAAAAAAAAACCCATAAAACTGCAGAACACAAAATGTGAAACCGCAACTTTTCATGTATCTGCCCATGGACCTAATGAGCCTCCATACCAATTTTGGTGAAGATCCATCCACACCCTGCGAAGTAGTTACATAAACAGACAACAGACAGTACTATTATATCTATATAGATAACTCTCACACACACAACAACAAGGGTTATAAGCATTTAATCATTCGGAAGCAGTTTGCTAAAGCGTTTATACTTCTTACAACACCATGTAATCCAACTTCACGATAAAACTATCACGTTAACGTCACGTGAAGTGTCTCAAATCTCTTGAGATATTATTGGGTTTACGACCGAAAATACCGTTAATAGCGAACTGATGAAACAATGCATCCTAATATTTCTAACGTACTAAAAGTGTATTTAATTAGCTATATCTTACGGCCAGGTTGATTTTTAGGTTCGCTCTAAGTAGGTTGTTTACTATTATATTATTATTCATTGAATATGATCATTTGTCTTCAATGTTTTTATTGTATTTGTACTGGCTAGCGAGTAGGGTATTTTTTTATTATTTTGTCCACATACTCTATAGATTAAAATACGTTTGGTCTGTTTTTAGTCTACACTCAACGTAATAGAGTATAAGATACATTAAAATATGACACTAGAGACACTAGTTTGATCTTTGTTTAGAATTTATCGCAAAGCTACACGAGGGCTATCTGCGCTAGCCGTCTCTAATTTAGCAGTGAAAGACTAGAGGGAAAGCGGCTAGTCATCGCCGTCCACCGCCAACTCTTGGGATACTCTTTTACCAACGAATAGTGGGATTGACCATTACATTGTAACGCCCCCACGGCTGAAAGGGCGAGCATGTTTGGTCGGATGAGGATTCGAACCCGTGACCCTCAGATTGCGATTTAAGCGACCTAATCACCTGGCCATGCCGGATCGGGCCCATAAAATTAGGCTATTGTGAAGTAAGAAATGTATCTTAATAGGTAAACAGTTGTTTTATGACACGTGTTTTTCACAAGTTAGCCATAAGTAGTGTTACCCTAACGTGTGTTTACTTTACAAAATTTTCGTATATGTGTGTGTGTGTGTGATTATTAATGTTTTTGTAATAATTGAAAATCCTTAAACAAAATTAGTCTTTAGGGGGAAAAAAAATGTTTTTTTTCGTGTCGGAATTACACATTGTAAGTTCTTATGCCTCGTACGGATAAAAATAGCCTCAGAGGTGTAGGAGGCAAATTAATAGTCGGGGGGGGGGGAGCAAGGTTTATTTACCCGAGCGAAGAGACTGAATGTGTGCCATTGGCATACCCATTCCAGCGGGTGTCCAGGTCTCGTTTCCTACGTCTCTGTATACCAGTTGATGGAAGTCTTGTGAAGAGTACTCCTTGCGTTTAAAAGTAAGGACTTGAACCTAAGCGTCGTGTAATTACAAATGAAACACACACACGGGTTTCTACATCTTTATTATTATTTTTTCTTCCCGTTATAACTTTAATCCCAAACTTCTTTTTTGGAGTCGACCAGTATACTTGGATAACTGGCCCATGTAGGACGAGAATGTTTGAACCCGTGACCCTCAGATTACGAGTCGAGCACCCTAACTACTAGGCCACATAAGGCCTTTGTACATCTTCAATTGTTATTTTTTTTGGTCATTTACAAGTGATCCATAATGTTATAATTTTCAGGGGTCGTTTATTATTTTCATCAGAGGATATAACTTCCTTTTTTTTTAAAAAACGATTTTATTTGAAAGGTTCATAAATCCTAAATACGATCAAACAGGAGAATGAGATAAATAGGAGACTAAAGTCTTACGAGATAAATATGTTATTATCCTTACAGCCTGTGGAATCATATTCTATGACGGGGACAGCAAGACAAACATCAGTACCAGTTGTGATCAACCAATCAAATACGTTCAAAGTCGACTGTAGGAACAAGGATACAACAACGAGTTTGGGTATTGTTGTTGCAATTTAGTAAGTCTATCAACCTTCAAAACGTCATCGTTACCAAATTCGTTACTAACCTATAAATTTTATTTTAAGATTCCTTATTTATTTATTTGTAAAAGCACGATCTAGTATGTTTTTTTAAGGGGCATTAGTCCCCAAAATATAACAATTTCGGTGTTTTATATGCCACATGGCTCAAAATATTTGATGATTTTTTTTGCGAAATCCGTTAAATTTAGCGTGACTCAGTGGCTTCGCGCTTTGGACTCGTAGTTGGATGGCTGTGGCCCCTCAGTGGCACAGCGAAATCCGTTAAATTTAGCGTGACTCAGTGGCTTCGCGCTTTGGACTCGTAGTCGGATGGATGTACCCCCCCCCCCAGTGGCACAGCGGTATGTCTGCGGACTTACAACGCCAGAAACCGGATTTCGATACCCATTATGTAGTTTGTGCTTAACTTCAAACAAACAAACAAACGGCTGGCTGTGAGTTCGAGGCTAGGCCGCGTAACCAGCTGTATGATGCTTGTCATATGTTAGATGGGGGGGGGGGGTAGCCTGTGATGGACTGGTATCCTGTCCAAGCGGAAATGGAGTACCATTCTCATCCGACTGTGCCACTCGGAACAGGAGCTCGAAATCCCCGGCTTATGTACTATGTAAAGGAACGGCAATAATTTAATTAACTAATAAATTTAGCATAAAAAATAATTAAATTTATTACTGTTTTCGTTGCCTAGTGCTAAGGTAGAATTTGTCTTAAATAAATTACAAAGAGTTTAACTACAAAAAATATGTCCAGCTTGTCTAAAATCACGGTGAGAGGTGTCATTAATAAATTACTACAGTAATTCAGTCTTTCAGGTTGAAATTGGCAGATAACGTCAACTTTTGTTAACGTTAGGTACGATAGATGGCGTGTATGTAAAACATATTGCCGTAATAACTACAAATATATAAGACATGTTTGAATTGCTCTGTGTTTCTCTCCAGTGAAGCTTCGGCTAATGACTTAAACGACTTGGACAGTATTAAATGTCTACATCTGGAGAACGGACTAGGATTGGATACTGGCGACGTGGTCCACATCGGCCTGAGAGTAACAACAGGCAACATACTTTCTGATGGTGTATCTCAGTGTCCTGATAACTATGTGATCACAGGTATATATATATATATATCCACTTGTCTATCTTCTATCTAGCTATCAATAGCTATACACTATCAGATGTCTTTCTTTCTCAACTTGTCTGTCTTCTATCTATCTATCAATAGCTATACAATATCAGATGTCTCTCACGCTCCACTTGTCTGTCTTCTATCAATAGCTATACAATATCAGATGTCTCTCTCACGCTCCACTTGTCTGTCTTCTATCAATAGCTATACAATATCAGATGTCTTTCTTTCTCAACTTGTCTGTCTTCTATCTATCTGCCTAACAACTCAGTAATATAGAAATATCTGTGTTTATATTTCAGTCTTCCAGCTAGGCATTAAAAAATTAAGACTAAATACATTAAATCTACGGCGCTTTTAATTGGGTTCAAAATACACGTGTCATTTCCTTAACAAAAACAAATACCTTTCATCGATATCTTCTCAGGATTTGTTCATCTTTCCATCTGTCTGTATTTCTATTTTTTCTATCTATTTATTTATCCTTTTCTCTCTGTCTGAAGAAGATTAAAAAAAAAAACACGAAATAATCTCTTTCAAAAAGAATCTTCCAACAACAATAAAGGATCATATAAAAATAAAAGCATTGTTCTTTTTCGTAACAGCGTTTTCAGATACTGACGTATATTTTGGCAACGTGGATTACGCCACCTGTGTGCGTCTGATGAACTACTGGGTTGTGGACTACAGCGACTGTTGGGTGAAGAAAAGAGGCAGCGGAAATTACAGAGGTCAAACTGATCCTAACTTGCCTTGGAATTTTGAATGCCCCCGAGCGGGATCAGAACCAAGAATTATCGTGGGGTTTGTATTAAACAGTGGCATGATAATGAAATGTTGTAAACTTGTAAATTTGAAACTCTAAACCTGTCAGTGTCAGAATGTCCGTTTCGTCACTTTTATTTATTAATGAAATGGGTAAAGCATAATAAAAAACAGTTCAATAAATTACGCTGGAGTTTTCGTTCAGAACAATTAAAAAATTGGTGATTCACATAAAAAAATGTTGATAAGATTACCGCATTCAACAGTGGGGATCTGTATTCAACTCTAGCGCATTTAACAGTGGAGGTTCTATGTTCAACTCTAGCGCATTCAACAGTGGGGGTCTGTATTCAACTCTAGCGCATTCATCAGTGGGGGTCTGTATTCAACTCTAGCGCATTCAATAGTGTAGGTTCTGTATTCAAATCTAGCGCATTCAACGGGGGGCGGGGTCTGTATCCAACTCTAGCGCATTCAACAGAGGGGTTCTGTATTCAACTCTAGCGCATTCAACAGGGGTTTATGTATTCAACTTTAGCTCATTCAACAGGGGGTCTGTATTATTTTTCATCCACTTCCCCAAAGCGCTTGGGTTTTGTGTATTTCCTATAATACGGTCGCGAGTTCGAATCCCGTCACCGAACATGATCGCTCTTTCAGTCATGGTGGCGTTATGATGTGATGGTCAATCCAATTTTTCGTTGACAGAAGAGTAGCCCAAAAGTTAGCAGTGGATGACGTTGACTAGAGGTCTTCCTTCTAATTTATCAATTCTAAATTACGGACGATTAACGTGTAGCTTTTCGCGAAATTTAACATTCAAGGCTCATTATTGCAATGTTCTTGGTACATATGATTTCAATGACGTTTCCTTTCATTTTTATGATGCTAGGATTCAGGAGTTCACAAAATACGATGGATTATTTTAATCCCTTTATCAAATGTTTGTTTTTCAGCGTGGTTTTCATATGTTTTGTGAAAACCCAAACAAGATTATCTTCGTCACTAATTTTGTACTATTGGACTAGAGGGAAAGAAGCTATACAGCAGTACCCACCGCCAACTCGTGGGCTACTCTTATCTGACCGAGTAGCGGAATTTAACCGTCAATGTTCCCCGGAGAGAAACCAGTAAGTCTACGGATTTACAACGATAAAATCCGGAGTTCGATTCCGCGTGGTGGACACAGCAGATAGCCTAATGTGGCATTTATCTGAAAAAACAAACAAACAAATTAATCATCACTGTCATAGCGCACCTTCGACAAAGTCCGAGCATGTTTTACCACTAGGCCACGCCTCTTTGCATATTTTATTAATATTTCCCCTTTATTCAATTTGTTTTACCACTAGGCCACGCCTCTTTGCATATATTATTAATATTTCCCCTATATTCAATTTGTTTTACCAGTTAGCTAACCAAATCATTTCGCGTTATTACTATCAATTTCTACGGACATAAAAAAAGATTTTTTTTTTAATTTTCCGTAGAACAAGTTAATGAAATATAAAATAATAACAGGATTTGAAATTGAAATTAATTACATGATTTTTTTTTAGAAAATTATATAAACTTTTAAATATCTAAAATACATTTCGAGTTTTTGTGTATTGGTTCAACACTACAGTGTACAAAAATGTGTTCAAAACAACAAACCTTGGAACATAAACACGTGTTCTCATTCAATATTTCTATTTCATAGATTTAAATTTGTGCAGATACACCTTTTATGGTTCATTATTTCTATGCCTTATTATTTTGGTTTGTGTAAGTACACCGTTTTTATGGTTCCCATAATTGTTAGTGTGTGTTATATATATTCTACCTATGTTGATTAACATTGTGTTAACAATGTGTTGATTAACAGTGTGTAAACATTCTCTTGGTATAATTAACGTGAAAATAGACATGTTATGTTAATTAACAATGTGTAAACATTCTCTTGATATAAATAACGTGGAAATAGACATGTTATGTTGATTAACAATGTGTAAACATTCTCTTGATATAAATAACGTGGAAATATACATGTTATGTTGACTAACAATGTGTAAACATTCTCTTGATATAACTAACGTGGAAATAGACATGTTATGTTGATTAACAATGTGCAAACATTCTCTTGATATAGCTAACGTGGAAATATACATGTTATGTTGATTAATAATGTGTGAACATTCTCTTGATATAATTAACGTGGAAATAGACATGTTATGTTGATTAACAATGTGTAAACATTCTCTTGATATAATTAACGTGGTAAAGTTTTAACAGTTTATACGATCATCTTTGGTTGTTAATTATCGAGATTACAATAAAAAGCACATTAATACTTGAACGATATACTGTCTTCTTGACAACAGATTTTGACTTTTACAGTAAGTAGAACACCATGCTCTTTAGACAATCTGAAACCAACTGAATCCCAACTCCACAGACAATGCCTAAAACAACGTTGTGATAGATTACTTCAGAGACAGAAAAGCAACATATTTTCAACAATTTTAGCAGGTAAGTATCTTGTTTTCCACATTAGAGCAACGAATAATTATTTCAATGACCCGGATGCTGAAGACTTGACGTCATCGATGTGATTCGTGTCAGTGTCAACAGCTGAGAATCAGTGTCGTGACAACTAGGTGACGTCTAGTATATATCTAATATTTACGTATTATTAGGTACAGCTCACCATGAATTTCTACACTTGTAGAACACCTACAACCGAGAATTGTAGTTCGTATTTAATAGCTTCATATTGTTTGATATACTTCTTTGAGCAACCACGTCGGTCTTGCCTTGAATTACATGTTTCCTGTTTTACTCAAAAGAGGGCACCATGATACATAATATTTGATAACCTATTTATTTATTGGGTGGTTGAGATATTTCTTGGTTAATATATAAACATTTGTGTATTTGTTTCCTTTAAAACAAAGCCACACTGGGCTATCTGCTGTGTCCACCGCGGGGAATCGAACCCCGGATTTTAGCGTTGTAAATCTAAACTTACTGCTGTGCCACCGTTTGTTTGTTTGTTTTTAATTATGCACAAAGCTACACAAGGGCTATCTGTGCTCTGCCCACCATGGGTATCGAAACCCGGTTTCTAGCGTTGTAAGTCCGCAGACATACCGCTGTGCCACTGGGGGCGCCACCGTTGGACACATCTGTGTAATCGACGCTAGACACAAAACAACCCCACTGATCCAAGATAGCGTTTGAATTATAATTAGCTAATAAAAATATAAATAGCGTACAGTTACTAATAACTAACATATATTTAGGTAAAAACGATCGAACAGAATTTTTAAGAATGTTCTTTCTCTATACAAGAGTTAAAAAAGAAAGATTTCTTCATCCATAAAGTTTAAAATGCAAAAGTTGATAATATGTTATCCCCCCCCCGGCGTGTGTATTGGTTTTTATTAATCGAACAAATAGTTCATTTCTAATTAATATTATTTCACTGGGTGAGAAACTTAATAATTTCTTATTATCTTCACCACTGGCGCCATCTATTTGCATTCTAGTTTACGAAGCGTAGCGTCTTTATAAAATGTCGGCTTTCTTCAGCAGTGTGTCGTAAACACTCACAACACAAACGATTGAAATTACTTTATAATAAAAGTTTCGTAGAATAAAAAAGAGTTAATTCATATACATACAAAAAATCTACACAATGTTCAAACGTGTATAATCAGAAATATCTTCTACTTGAGTAAATTTTAGGAAGGGCTTATCAATCGAAAATTATTCTTATTTACTGATAAACAATTAAGATTGTTTACTTATCCCCATCTAGTGGCGAGTTTTGAAAAGAGGTTTACAACAGTTCAACTTGCAGATGTTACAATATCAGCAACAATATCATTCGATTAAACAATTGTATGATAAAAGTATAAATTTAGGATAAATATAACAGCACTCCTGTATATTTATTAATAGTTAGATTTTAATATTCTGATAAAAAATAAGTTATTTGATTTTTTAAGATTTAAATATTTTTTCTGGCATCTAGTTTAGACTTACCGCTGTCCCACAGGGGGACAAAAAATGTTCAACCAGATGAGTGGAACCTTTCAGCCTTGTTGAATTCTGTCGACGAGTCTCGTCAATGTAGGTACTGTTGTATTTACTATATTTAATGCGGAACGATCGTTTCGAAGCTTGTGTTATTAATTTTTTTACACTTGATAAACTTTAAACTGAGAAAAGTACTTAGTTAACTAGCAGTTGCAAGCCTGGCCAACGAGGCTTAATGTTCGTTAGGACCATTTTAACTTCAATCTAGGCCTAGATCTGATCTAGAATAAAAACTAAACATCAATAGAACTAGACAGGGGCTCACAACTTCGTGTTTTTCGATAAAGTTCCTGTAAATTATTCTGTTTTGATAGTCAAATAAACCAAAACACTCGAGAATGAATTTCATAACCGTACGGATTTTATTTCCAATTGAGAAAGAAAAATAATTACACTTTTGTAGACAAAAATCAAAAAAGCACTATTGGAAAAATTAAAATTGGTTTGCTCTGTTCGCTGAGATAAATAAACACATTTATTTCTCGTGTTCATCTTTATATACTTGAAAATAACCAATATATATTTGTCAAATATGAACACGGTTCTCTAAATTATCAATTTGCTGATAAAATAATCAGAAAGCAGGAATTACAGATTATATTGTAATGGTCTACTTATCCTGATTTTATTTGTTATTATCAGGATGAAACTTTTTGTTGTATTTCAATGCAATACGATGTAAGTGTTCAGATTCCACGAAACAAGGAACAAAAGAATAAAGCTTTAGTGGATTCAAATTCGATGACGAGGAACCCACTTTGAGACTAATAATGGCTGGAGACGGCTTGAATGATGACAAAACCTTGTCGAAACGTTGTACATTTGCTGTTGTATTAAAGTTTTTCTTCATTACCCATTCAAGCCGTCTCCAGCCATTATAAAGCTTTAGTGGAAAACAAAGGTTGAGAACATCTGGAAAATTATATCTTAACGATGGGTACACAAATGTTTGTATACTCATCTTGTATACTTTGCTATAATAACCACTAAACCGAATGTTGTTCAGTTACAAATTAAAACAGAAATCATTAATTTATAAATAATATCTCCGTCTTTTTCTTCTTCTTTATCTTACGTGTATCCATCGTGATTTTTCAGATCATGTGCTAAATTTGCTTCCATTTTCATATCTACTCCTGACCAGGAGTGTGCTATTAATCTTTAACAGCCTGTTCAGATAAAGGTCGAAATTCTGTGATACATCGGTATGAACTTGTTCTAATTTGTGAAACATATAATAGTTAACAGTAAGGTCTTTTTTGCACCATTTCAAGATAAATTTCTATTGACTTTTGGATATTTGTTAAAAATCAATCAAAAGGCCCGGCATGGCCAGGTGGTTAAGGCGCTCGACTCGCAATCTGAGGGTCGCGGGTTCGAATCCCCGTCACACCAAACGTGCTCGCCCTTTTAGCCGTGGGGGCGTTATAATGTGATGGTCAATCCCACTATTCGTTGGTAAAAGAGTAGTCCAAGAGTCTAGTCTTACATTGCTTTGAATTAGGGACAGCTAGCGCAGAGAGCCCCCCTTGTAGCTTTACGCGAAATTCAAAAAACAAACAATCCAATCAAAATTTGACAGAAAAGGGTTGTTTATATTGTTTCGTGCATTTTTTTAGATCAGCAGTTTTTTCATTTGAATAATTCTAAGAAACACAATATAAAACTGTAATAAGAATTACGAAACGTTTCACATGATAACACTTTATAATACAAATGTATTGTTTCTAATCTATCATGGCTACAATAACTAGATCAACAATTTCAATAAATCGTGAAAGAAATAGCTATATAAGATAACAGTTTTAATGTTTAGATTATGGATGTAATAACGACAGAGTAAATCTCCAAAGCACATGCGCTGGCAGTTCACTAATTACGAATAAATTTAATCTTATGCATTCGATGGAATATGATGTCAAAGGGTAATGAAATTGAGATCACGATTCGTGAATAATTTAAAACAAAATTAGAACTTTCTCGGCTTTGGAAAAATTATATTTATATCTAAATACACGAAGACAATCTTTCAATTTCCAAAAATATGTTTTTTTAGAATTATTATATATGTTCCTTTTTTAAAATGATTCCTATTTATTTCGAATTACTGCAAATAGCATTTATTCCTTTTTTTTATTAATGAATTTAAGATACTCTGGAACAAATATATTTCTTTGATTCAGAAAACTAATTTTAAGTTTTGAATTTGTTTGGGAAGTTAGCGTGTTATTTACAAAAATTATCCAATTTCATTAATAATTTTTTTTTTGGGGGGGATGAATTCGTTCATCTTTAGATAATATACATAATTGAATAATATTTTTCATCAAAGTTACAAAATTCTTAAATTTAGATTGGTTAATTTCTATTTTTGACAACAGCTCTTTTGATGTGACTAATTATCAGAAATATATCGTACAATTGTAATGATTTTATTAATTTATAATAATAGTAAAACAATGTGGAATGAAATCCACCTGGTCAATGGCGGAATTACAGCTAAGATGTGAGGTTGGACAAAGATTTTTATTAAGTTTTTGCTTGTTGAAAATATATAAGGATTTTGACTCGGGTGCCTCAATGTTTAGGGTACCTGATAAAAGCCCCCTTCGCCTTAAGTCTCTCGGTCACTATGCCTATGTACATGGTGTAAAATAGTTTGATTAATCTGGAAAGTAATTTATTTATTTTTTCATATCGAAAGAAAATATACTAATGTTTAGTTTAAAAATCAAACGTTGTCGATATTTCACCATCAAACAAACACCACAACAGTTACATATTGAGAAATTATTCGGCGACTTGAACACCTAATATTGGTGAAATATAATTTGGCAAAGTTCTGTCTCCTTCAATTAATTCAGAAACGAATACGTAGTGAACAATCATCACAAAAAACGAAACGATATTTAAGAATTACTCAATTACCAAATGCAAGCAATCAATCGCTACTTTTTTTAGGTATCACAAATCTACCACTGAAGATGTACTTGCTTAGTGACTGTTACGTAACATTGGCAACAATAAATAAACAGTCCATTGAATCACAAAATGACGAACGTGTGTAGTCATCGTTACTACCACAAAGTCTAACAATGGTTCCATCAGCTAGGCTCCAAACTTTAAGACAATAATACTAAAGAACTATAACAGCCTTTTTTTATTTATACATATTTGTTTTGTTTTGAAGTACTTAACAATTATCTGGGTATAAGGTCCAGAAGTAGAATTTCTCCAATTTAAAAGTAGTGTAGTACTGTGGATCACTACAAAGTTATTACAAAGGTCAAAAATTCGAATCAGAAGACAGAGTATTTTCGAAGAACATTTTCATCAGGAGATCATTCTTTGAAAAGGGTTAAGATTAATGGCTGGTTTTTATATTACTGTAATCATTTCATGGTGATTATCCTACAGATAATAATGGTTGATTTTTGAATCCTTATAATCATTCCTTTATGCTGTATTCCTACAAATAATTGTAAAACAGCAAAGATATAATTTCATATTTAGAAATCGCCAATCATTCATGGATACTTGTTCAATGTTTGGAAGGTGTTGGAAGTACTGTCTTCTTAACTCTGTATCCTGTATCAATCATGCCATCAATCTCTCTACACGTTGTATCTCATGACGTAAGAATCAGAAGCCAAATTAAGATCTGGTAGATGAGCGTCCTCCCAAAGTCTTGATTCTGCAGTTCCTCCATTAAACACCACTTCTGAATTTACTGATGATGCAACCGATTCCTGGTTTTTATCGAGCTTTTCCTGCTGATTTTGGTTGAGAGGTGCGTAAGAGTCAAAACTGGAGATGGGATTTCTATATATTTTTCTCGCCTTCCCTTTGACAGACTGGCCGAGATGAGTCTCTATAACTACTTCCAGGATCTCTGATCCAATTCGTCTTTGGGTCTGCAAGCTATGAGATTCCATTCCTTTCTGGTATTGGAAGGATGATGCTAGTCTCCTACGGTGACAAACAACTACCAAGGTTACAGCCACACCAATCAACACACCCAGAACAATGGGTAGAGCAACCAATAGGGGATTAGTTTGATTATTCCAGTTTTCTGACATTTTTGTCCAACCAACCGAATGGCTTAGTCGAGCTGAATATAAAAATGAAACTCACAGTGAAAAAAATACTGTTATTTAAAGTAAAAACGTACCATTAATACATCTCTATTTTAGCTATTGGTTCTAATACAAAATGTTTTGAATATATCCGTTTTATTCTGGGAACAACTAGGTATTGTTTAATCTTTCCGTTTTGAAAATAATGTAATTTAAATTATTGTTTCATTAAGGGATTATGAAACACAAAAATGTGTTAAATTATTAAGAATTGAGTTTAGACTCTGATCCCTATGTTTTTCAGTTACAGTTTCGGTTTAAATGTCATAACATAAAATTAAAACATGCAGGAAACAGTCCAAAAGGTCTATGCACTGTTCTCACTCCAGACGGATTATTAGTGACTTTAAAGTTAATAAGCTTTCCTTCGGCCATACGCTACCGAATAAATTGTCGATTGAAATAAAAAAATTAAAATACTATAATTTGTTTAGATCAGTAAAATTACCAATAAAAGAAAATTAAAAATGCTTCAAGATGACTATTTAAAATTGTTATTTTTTTACTTCAGAAATAATATGTTTTGTTAGAGAAAATACAAATAATATAATACAAAATAAATAAACTCCATACAGTTTAGCCCCCCCCCCAGTGGCACAGCGGTATGTCTGCGGACTTACACCGCTAGGAACCGGGTTTCGATACCCGTGGTGGGCAGAGCACAGATAGCCCATTGGGTAGCTATGTGCTTAACTTCAAACAAACCGTCCAATTTTGCTTCTTTCGACTTAAGATCCACGACACTATTTATGATTGAATAAATATATATATATATATT